CCCTAAACACCGCACACAATTTGACCAAGGGAACGAGGAGCCTCTGGAAAGCCTCTGGCCTCAATGACCTGGGCTGCCGGAGCATGGCCACGTCTCTGGCGCCTCTGCCAGGAGGTGCTGAGGGGACAGAGGGGAAAGGCAGCGGGCAGGCAGGGAGCTTGCACAGCTGGCCTAGCTCACGCTCCTCGCCTGCCTGACCCTCTCAAATGCTGTTTCTTTCTTTTTTCTTTCTTTCTTTCTTTTTTTTTTTTTCCAGTGGAGGTAATGTGTGAGATTGAGTTTCCATGCTATACTCCCCTCCGAACAGCCCCACTAGTGCTTTGCAGCATAGGGAAAACAAAAGACTGGGAAGCAGAGCGTGCACCAAATGCGCTCTCTTGGCAGGCCATAATGATGCATTTGCTTCCACTTGCAAAAGCTGTCTTGGCAACAGAACACAGGACTCAGCAGTTTTTACTTATTTCAGAATTTTAGGGAACATTAAGAACATTTTCACTCTTCTCATGTAGCTTGGCTAAAAATAACTTCCCAAAGAAAAAGAATGTTTACAGCATTTGGGTCAGTTAGAATGCATTTATCTGAAAACGTTATGCTGTGCTGAAAACTTTAAGCAAGTGCTTACACTTAAGTCTGTGAATAACTCCCTTGAAATCAACTGTGTCTAAATGCATATCTAATTTGTTGCAAAGCCATAGCCTTTCCGGGCTTGTTATTCCTCAAAGCTGTTCTGAGACACACTTATTTCTTTATATTAATACATTTAAAATATTAAAGCATTGAGATTGTGTTTTCAAAGCATTATTACTAATATTATTCCTGCATTGTTGCTTTACACTACCGAAAAGTGAGGATGCCTTAAGTGGAAAGTGAAAAGGAAGGAAGAGAAAAGAAAAAAGAGATGACCTGGATTTAGTGATAGCAGACAGGCTGACAGCATCTTTTTTCCTTGCTATTGAGAGAAGAACAGACAGCATGGGCAAGTCACCAAGTATCTGTCATAAACTGTAGCTATGTATTCACGTGTAGAAAAGGAGACTTAGGCCAGGGAGAATGTATTTGCAGGACCAGGGCCAAAATAATCTGCACTACAGGAGTGAAATATACAGCATCATCTTGAACTCTGAGTCAATACTGCATTAAATGAATGAAGCAGTCCAAACCATAGAGCTATTAATTTAGTGGCAAATGCTGCCTCAAGCCTGAATTTATTAGAAGATGGGCTAAGGGAGCTGTTGTCTTCCTACCCCAGTAACCATCTATACCCATGCCTTGGTGTATGCTTATATGTTAGATGCCAGGGATACCTAGTTGGGCAGCCTTCCAAATCAGATACAAGTTTCATCTGCCGCTGTTGCCTGTAGGTTAGAACATGTCTGAGGCTGGGGAACAGCACCTGAGGGTGCTATTTTTGACTTTCCTAATTGCTTGCTTGGTGATCTTGGGCAACTCATTTCTTCTGTTCATATTAGGGGTTCCTTGACAGTATTACATCCCTCCACCCACTGAAATCACTTGATACCCACTGATGAAATACGTTATTTGACGTCCACACATTGTTATTCTGGGCTGCGTGCAAATTCAGAAAGACTTGGGTTTTGTGGCCTGACACAAAAAACTCAACCCTTATGATTTTTCAATCGTGAGAGCTAGCAATGGATTTTTTCTTGGAGCCTGAAACTCTGGAGCACAGTCGGGTGAAAGATAGGAACTTGACAGCAAATGCAGGGGTGGCAGAATCATGGAACGCAGCTGGCTCTGCAGCTGGTGTGGGAAAGCAGCACAGGAGGCTTCCCTTGCTTTGGCCAACCTATCAGGAACAAAGTGATTCAGTCTCCTGGTTTGCCTCCAATGCATTTAAATTTGTTAATTCTAAGATCCTGAGGTGTGAGTTTTTCACTTGTTTCTTATGCAGTGAGGGTATATAATCATTAGGAATTGGGGGAAAAAAAAACAAAACAAAACCAAAGGTGTTTCACATTTCATACTGCAGCAATACTTACATGATTACTACATATTCTCATTTTTGGCCTGGACTTCCCACTTCATTTCTTATGAACTATTCAGTTCTCTTTCTACAGTTTTCACATTGTCTCAATTGTAAGGGATAGGAACAGAAACTGTAGAGCAAATCCTGAATAACAGGTTGACCAACGTCAACTAAGCCTGATAATGGTGTAAGTTCCTTTTCCAAAGGATCATTAAAGTTCCCTCAGGGTCTAAAATTTAATCGTAGGTGCATTTGTACGACTCAGATAATGAAAATGGGAAAGGTTTCCAAAAAGCAGCTACTTGCCTAGCTGCCAGACATTCAGGTAAAATTATCTACTTGCCAAGTCTAATTCTCTCATTTTTTCTGCAAGTTATTGATGCATTTTTCATGCCAAATCATTTCATAAAGATGAAAAAATATTTTTTCTTTGTAACGTGAATTAGTTTCCTTTCTATTTTTAACCCTAGATTACATGGATGTAGGTGTTTGTATGTTGCTGTAAGCTTTGTGCTTACCCTTGTGCTAACCAAAGGTGATGTATGAAATAGAGAATCAATGTTAGTATTTTTTCCTGAACTTACTTTCTCCCTCCACAGAACAGTTTCACTTTCATCTGCTTAGCTCAGGGTTGCTTTAAATTCTTAATTTTTCTACAGTTTTGATGTAGACGGTGAGATAATTTGTCGATTTCCCACTGTTCTACAAAGACTTGATACAAGCTGAGGATGTGAACTGGAAAACAGTAGCGGTCCTCAGCTGCGCAAATATTCACGTTGTAATGCATTGTGTTATATAAGCAGTAACGGCTAATTAGGCTGCGTGAAGTGCACAGCTAACACCTCTGAGACGCAGATCTGACAGAAGGGCCCGACTCCAGGATAGTTACTGTCCTACAGATAAGGATGACTGCGGGTATACGCAAGCATCTCACGTCACCTTTTCATCGAACTGCCCAGGCAAACGGAAACAACCGCTGGCCGCCGCGGGATTTCGCTTTCCCCGTCAACTGCCG